TAATAAGAATAATGATGATGATAACATTCAACTAAGTTGAAAATTTGACAAAATTAATTGAAAAGAAATCTTATTTAATTGAATAAAATGAAATAAACAATTAATTACACATGATGGAAGGAAATGATGTGCAAAATAACCATTCGGAAGTATATAGCTAATTTATTAACAAAAATAACTATGAGATGCACAATACAAGAGCAATTTCCCACTTGTTTTACTCCAGAGGTCTTTGAAACAGCATAAAATCAAATTTTCTTACCACTCTCACGAACTATCCAAATCCCGTCAGGAACCCCTTCAAAACCCATCAAATTTTTTCGTCTGTAAGCATTAATCCCCCGAAAAAAAATATCTCAAACCTCCGAAAGAGTTCAATCAAGTGGTGACATCGATTTATGCCACAATAAAAATTTGACAAACCCTCCCCCCGGCCCCCAACAAAATTGAAATGGCCTCAGTGACCTTGAATGCCCGATAAATTGAATTTTTATCAATCCACGGTTCAACGGTCTCTCTAGCGAGCAGTGCAAATATTATCGATGGCAAAAAAAGAGGACTGAGATAAAAAGTGCGCTCTATGCCAGTGCAACGGCGAAAAATTCAGTTACGGGGGAAAATAAAATTCGAGCACTCACGGGGGAATTTCACCTCCCGCCCGTGCGTTCTATTTGTTCGAATGCTCTAAGTGGGCCTTCATTGCTTTATTGACACAATCATTTTTTTGTGGGTAAATAAAACGGTGATGAGGCAGTTTTGTGTGCCGAATGAATAATCGAATGGGTAATTTTCATATTCTGGGTGTATGAGGCAATTCGTTACTTTGAGTTTACGGAAAATATTCTTTCATTCAGTTCCATTTTAATTACGTCACTTCATTTTATTTGCATTTTGTGGATATTTTGGGAAGGGAGAAAAATATTTTTCAACATTTTTCTCCATTCCCTTGTTGAAAAAACATTGTCAACTTCCTTCTGTGATGAGCCGTGTGATATATACGTTAAACCCTTCTGTGATAAAGATGATTCATAGATTCTTCAAAGAATGTGAATTGAATATTTAGTCGAAAAAATATATATTCAAACTATACAGTGTTGAAACTAGCTATGTAATGCAATTACGTATTAAGGCCCGGGTGTACTATCTTTCGAATGTTATCTGGATTTTTTTTATCTTTCGTAATCCAAAATTGTCAATTGAGTGGTACATCATGTAGAAATTCCCAAAAATTATGATAGAATGATAAAAAAATAGAAAAAATGATGAAGTTTTTCAAGGAGCGTTTTTAATTGAGGTTCAGAATGAGTTGAAAAAGGTGGAAATTACAAATATCTTATTCGCTGTGGCTAATTATTCATTAGCTGTCATTTTCCATGGTGGATAACAAAACACTAACTCCTCGTGGGAAGTGACAGCTAGGTATCTCAATTTTCAAAACAGTGGTATGTAGTCATCTGCCATTTTTATGTGATAAAAGTGTGATTTAAAAATTCTCCAAAATATTACAACTTTTTTCAAAGAGCCTTTTCCGTAATAAATGTCTCTGTGCAGTGTGGGAAAAGATTTACGAAATCAGTCTTCCCCCTGCATGATATTGGGTGACAGGCCGCCATTTGTCACCGTAAATCAGATACATTTTTCAATTTCTTGTTATTCAACTTATTCTGAATATAAATCAAAAATGCTCTTTGAAAAAATTAAGAATTTTTTCTACTTTTTTTGATTATTCATCAATAATTTTCCAAAACTTCTGCATGATGCAGGACTTAATTGACAATTTCAGGTGACGAAAAATGAAAAAAAAAAACATCGAGATAACTTTCGAAAGATAGTACACCCGGGTCTTGAATAGTTAATAAACCTTCTATGTAGGTTTCTAATTGCTTAATAAAAAAAATCCTTCATTACACTGAGAGAAAAACAAACACCTTGTCAAAGAAGTCTCGTTTGGGCCAACAAAATCGCGTTCAAAATTGCCAAAAAAGAGTTTGTTTGGTTCGAATTTGAAAGTCTCAAACATGAACAATTGCTCTGCTTTCGACAGCAACGAAATATTTGGCTCAAGAGGCGGATAATTCACACCAGACGGTGCCTTTTCCCGATGAAAATATCTCATACAGAGGAAAATTTATCAACAAATATTTTATCCCTAAGTTACAAGATTGCTACCATATCATTATTATTGTTTCATTTAAGGGTTCATTTCTTATCTGTGATTATTAGACAGTCGAAACGAAAAACTACTATCCCTTGATTCGCACAAAACAAAGATTTTTCGGGAGCAAAATACGTATGGGAGGATCGAATAACGAAGGAGTAGTGCTAAAACTGACATTTCTTGCGTGTCCAGAGAATGCAATTATTTTTTAACTACTAAATCTATTTTTGCGCCAAAAATTTTTCACTCCGGCGCCCTCTCTGCATGTCTGGCACAAAAAAATCCCTTTCTGATAATTTTCAAAAAACTATTTTCTTGGCGCAAGTAAGACTTGTTTGAGAACAGTGTCGTTTTTCTCTCAGTGTACTATCGAGATAAAAATTAAGGAATTTCTACAGAAAAATCTCAATAGAATTTTCCAAGTTACTAGCGAATTCACCAGGTCTTTCCCTCTGGGATTCACTCGAGATTTTCCCTGTGAAAACCAAATTTCTCTATTTCAAAGTCCTCGAAATAGTAGAAGCGTAAATAAAACACTGGAAGAAATGCCAGGATGAGAAATAAACCGAATCAACTTACAAGTTTTAATGATATATTTGTTTTCTTCTATTAATGTATTATAATAATGCGTTATCTATGTACCTTATACATACTATATATAACTATATGTATATTTATACGTAGTGTTTCACATGTGTGAGTATATATAACCACTTCTTACACAATTATCATTAATTTCACGTGAATAGGGTCCTGTAGAAATGAACAAATCGATTATTTACAAAATACAATTAATCACCAATTGAAATTCATACAAATATCTCCGCTCTGTTCCTCCTCTCGTCATCATTTCTCGTCACAAAAGAAAATAACTAAAAATCGTGCTCAGCATGTGTTACTCCATGTATGTGATGTTTTATTTACTTATCAATCGATAACATCCTCGTCTACTGGAGTCAGTGAAAACAAAAATGAAGAGGGAAAATTCGGGACAAAAATGAATAAAAATCGGAGACTATGGCAACAATACGGTAAATGGCAAGTACAGCTAGACTATGATGGAGATGTACATTTTATCCTCTCTTTCATTTCACCGGCGGATGATTGAGTACGAGGGGACGACGTATGACGCGAACAAAAAGCAATTTCGAGGGTTTCTCTCTCTCTCTCTCTCTCTCTCTCTCTCTCTCTCTC